CACTTGTGCCCTGGGTCACTGGTAGGGATTGTAATTTCGATGGAGCCTCAACAATATTCTAAATACCAGCTCAAATATATCCAAATACCTTAACCAGCACAAATCCCCACAATCTAAACACTCTGCCCTTCACTAAGACACGTCAGCTCCACTCCAGAATACCATCTACGTTGTATTGCATTGCATTGCATTGCCTAATGTCAAGGTCTTGCTAAAGACGACGGATCAGTGGAATTGCTGCCACAACATAACAGCTAAATGTACGCAGGCGATGCTCTAAAGTGATTTCAACAATCGTCTCGATCAACTCCATCTTTTGGGAGTCACCAATAGATTGTTTTCTCTTCTGGAAGCGTCCAAACGATGGCTTGACTTTCAAAGTAGACGAATATTTTTTGCATATCTGGACGGCAATGCTCACAGCTTTCCTGACAGCAGCTGCATGCAGAGAGGCAATGTACTGCTCTAGAGAAACGTAAACAGAGGGGACAGATTTTTTCTGGTCCTGAAGATAGCGCAGCTTGTCGAAAACATAAAAAGAGTGTTTAAGGATAATGACAACAGCTAAATAGTCAATAATGAGCAGGTTCATCGCAACATAGCCTCAAAATTCACCAGAAATGAGCTGAACAATGTTCTCCAATGGTGATGAGCCAGAGGCCTGACAGATTCGCAACATGAGAAATGTGTGTACAATCTGTAACCAATTAGACGTACCACATATAGTAACCTAGACTGTATCTCTACACGGTGATGATCGTGAAGCTCATCCTATTGGTGGATCAGCGATATCGTTTGCTAACAAGGCTCTAGACTCACGTTCTATTGATGGATCAGCGATATCGTTCGCTAACAAGGCTCCAGACTCACGTTCTATTGAAGGATGAGCAATTCCAGTGGTAAGCAAATCTCGAACTCGACCGAGGATCAGCACACTGACTTTCTGTCAATAGATGAGCAATGGCATCGATGAGTAAAGCTCAAACTCAATGGCAGCTGAACACACTCACAAACTGTCAACAGGGATCAGCAATCCTAATGGTCAGTGATCCTCCAATTCGACTGCGGATCGATGCACTTACATCCTGTGAATGGATGCACAATATTTTTGGTCAGTATGGCTCGAGCTCGTTAGTGGATCGAGCAACTCACAATCTGTGAAAGGAGCGGCAATGTGCTCTGTTAGTGGGGGGAACGTAAAATCAACACACCCACATCCTAACCAATCAGTGAGGAAGGCAGGTGGTTGGCAGAGAATGATCACACTCACAAGCTGTCAATGGATCGACAATATCTTGGGTCAGTGGCTCAAATTCGGCAGAGGGTCAATGCACCGACCTCCTGTCGATAGATCTTCAACGACTTTGGTCAGGAATGCTCGAACTCAAAAAAAAAACAATGCACTCACGATCTGTCAATGGATCGGCAGGGGATGGCTTAACTCAGGAAAGTTCAGACTCAATAGAGGATCGACACACTCACAAGCTGCGAACAGCGGGCAACGACCTCGATCAGCATGGTTCAAGCTTGAAGGAGGATCGACACACTCACATCCTGCAAACGGTGGGCAACAACTTCAATTAGCATGGCTCGAGCTCGAAGGAGGATCAACACTCACAAACTGCAAATGGTAGGCAACAACTTCGATCAGCATGGCTTGAACTCGAAGGAGGATTGACACACTCACACCCTGGAAACGGTGGGCAACGACTTTGATCAACATGGCTCGGGCTTGAATGAGGATAGACACACTCACAGGCTGTGAATGATGAGCAACAGCTTCGATCAACACGGCTCAAGCTCAAAGGAGTATTAACAGACGTACTACCTGCAAGTAAACGTCCAACGCAAATGAGAACAACCTTTGAACTCCCCGATAGTCTTACCCAAATATGGGAAAACCAGGCAGCCAATGTCCCTATTATCTTCTGATGACCCTCAGCCATTGTTGTCTCTGCAGAGGCAAAATGTCCTGGGAGTGTTCTAGACAATATCAGCCGCTAATGCTTGCGGCAGGAAAATGAGACTATGGGTGGTTACCTCTCAACTGCACATTTCATGCAATTCTCCAAGATGGACTGCTGAGTCGAGACAAAGAATTGTTTCAACGCTTCATCATCCAAAATTCCAGTCGTGCGTTTGATGAGTGGTCCGCAATCTGCATTATCCTGGTCCATGTCTAATGGATCGATGGTCACCATCCCATATCACTCGACCATAAACCAACTTACAAGGAAGGCATACATGGCATTTTGGAGGCCGTGGGACGTCCTTGAGAAACTTCAATTGTGGCCCGTTAGCGAATGACTCTTCAGCATGTGTCAGGGCCAGTTCCATAGCGTTGTAGAGACTCGCGCCTCTCAATGCAGAATATACGGCCCTATTACCCACATAATTCCCTACACGTTCCAGCTCTTATCCGAAGGATCAGTTATACGTGCTCTCACGCGCGCGCCCTACATACGCGCCTCGTTCACGCACCTTACACGCACTCGCGCCTTTCGCGCGCGCTTGTGCGCCTCCCCTTAGGCCTTTGTACCCTTGTCCGTCCGTCCGTCCTATGTCCTCGCTGATTTACTGGTGCATTATTCTTATCCCTTTCACTGAATTGACGTACCTTCGGTCCGATCTCCGCGCTTACATACAGAAAGTCTATCATAGGCTTTAGAATATATTTAGAGTTGATATGGTTACTCGGTTCGGTACCACGCTCGGAAGCGCGCCGCATAGCGTAATCTCCCTTCTTAAATAGAGGGAAAGTTCCTTTTAACTTACTTCCTTCCCTTTTCTCCCTTATCTGAGTATACTGCAAATTGTATAAGTGCACCTTAGTACTTGAAATCCGATTATACTTCACTATTCTACCATCGCTCGCGCATCTGCTATACTTGAATACTCTCCCCCATCGCTCAAAAGCACGCTTCCGCATACGCGCACGCCCCCTCGCATCTTTCGCTCACACGCGCTCTCGCATCGCTTACTCGCGCCTACACACGCGTTATCTTCTCGCGCCTTCGCGCGCCTGTTACCACCCGTCTAGTTGGCGAAGACTCCCTCCATTACATTAAAGAGGAACTTCTCTCAGTAGCTGTCCTTTGGGTCGAGTCGTATTCTCATATCCTGGTCTTACTGTAGAACCCCCGTTAGCTTTAGCGTTTCACCTATAGTCAAGGTTCCTCACCTTCAGCGTCTTTCCGAGATTTTCCTTCACTCCTTAGCTTTGCGAATTCGACGTCGTATAGGGCATCAAACTTTGTGAACAATACGATCACCAGAACTGAGGATTGTGGTTTTGCGCATCAGTCAAACGTCAATGAATGTGGAATGCAAAAAGCTTACTGCTTCCTGTGTTGCATTGAAACAAAAATATACTTTCAGCTCTGGTGAACGACCTGCTTGCCTCGTCCATTGGGACACAGTACCTATGTTGAAACCGTAAGATAGCGCATGTTGCAATCAATCGGTTGCAATTACCAGATGACATGGAGCTGATTTGTTATTTTGGTTTCCTTGGAACGGCGAGTGATAAATGCCTCGACCCTGTTAAAGTATGATTAGTGATGTGCACGGCCAGGCCTCAAGCCATGGGCCAGGCCAGGCCAAAGTCATGGCCTGACCAGGGCTTTGGCCCGGCCCATGATTCTGAAAAGCTGGGAGCCGGCGGCTCAGGCCACGGCTTTGAGAGTTTGTGGGAAACATTTATGTAAAAATAGAATGAGCGCAAATTGGTTCCTGATGTCGAGCACAATGGTCGCTTCAAGAACTCGACTTCGATGTCACGACAATGTCTGTCTAATATATGTCGCGCTAATCATTATTCACTATTTACTGAGTTGCAGGTCCACTCCATGGACATCCCGCGCGACGTTCCCTGGCTTCAATAGGGGAAACTCGTGTTGCTATGCATCCAGTACGCAAAACTAAGCCTACTGCTGCACTTCTTCATTCAGGGGAACCGGCAACTCTTTCCTTCCAGAGGAAGGCCGTCAATGACTTTCGCATTGCTGAGGCTGCACGACATGCTGAACAGGCAGAAAATATTGAGCCAATCCCAATGCCAACCTCCTCATCTCTGCCTGCTCGTCTCATCTCATCTCATCTCATCTCATTCATCTCATCTCCCTCATTCTCCTCCTTGCCTTCTTCCCTCCTCCTGCTCTCATTTGTCGTCCACATTTGTCTGAGCCATGTCAGCAGTTGCTGACGTGCACTGGGCATTTGCACATGGCATTTGTAATGTTGGGAATGGCATGGTGGAGCTTGCCCATGTTGATATCCCACAACCTGACTCCACCATCATCACTCCCGCTGACTGCCATCTTTCTGTTTGGAGACAACGCTATGGTTCACACTTTATTTTCTCCGTCCTGCCAGTTGTAAGCATTGGAGCCACGCTGAGTCATCTACATCACTAATCTTTACAACTCGCATGTCAGGCATATCTACATGTTCATATCTACATGTTCAACTCGCAATCAAAGCCTTGGGTGGCGCATGTCACGAAGAAGCCACCGACATTCCACCACCGCTCTCGACTGCCGCGATTCATCAGCAGGGGAGTCATGTGGTTGAATCCTAGTTTCAAAACGACCTGCTCATGCTCACTTTGTCAGAATCACAAATTCCCTACTCAAGCCGTGGCTCAGGCCAGAGCCGGGCCAAAGCCAGCCGTCATTTGTGGCTTTGGCCCGGCTGGGATTTTTTGCAGGCCAGAGCCATCTGAAGCCAGGCCAAAGCCACGGCTTTTGAGCCAAGCCGGGCTGGAACATCACTAAGTACGATTGGTCGCCTGCCTCAAAACCGCATGAATCATGGAAAATGAAGCCCGGGTTGCTTCAAAATATCATTTCGTTCTCGATGTCATGCTCTCCATGCTGAGAGCACGTCAGTTCATGTCATCGACTAAGAGCACATCTTTACCACTCTGGATGCCGCTAAAACTGCAGGATCGATCTGATGTCGATGAGTCAGTACCATCTTCCTACTAGCATTGCGATGCCCACCTTTTTCCCGGCGCTGTTGTATATTTCTGGGTTGTCCCGTGTGTTGCAAACTCTCTGCAAGACAGTAGTTTTTCCTGCATTCACTCTTCCTATAATGAGGATTCGAAAGCGACTAATTTTCTCTCTTATCTTTGAAGGATCCATGGGAAGTTGTGATGGAGAAGCGCTGGTGTAGCCTTATAATCATTGCAGTGTGTGAATCCGGCAAATACCCAATCCATAGCTGTGTACCATGATGGGTGTCCTTGCCTCGAAGTAGAATTTCTATGTTAGCCCTGGTTTCTGTACTAAGTCTAGATAACACATAACACTCAACGCAGCAAGAAGCTGTGTTTATCATTGGACCTTTTCATGTTTGACCTCCCCTTGGTACTCAATTCTTGTCGTCAAGTAGCAACCTGCTGAGCATTTCAGTGAGTTGAAAACGAATATAGAGTCTGTTGAAGTACAGATTGGTAAGTTACATTCACCAATTGAACGCGAAACAGGAAAGAGTCTGCAACGGACGTTTTCTCCACTTATGTACATTACCAAAATCTCCCATTCCAGAGATGTTAATCTAAGGTCGCATCAGCCCTTAGAAGGCCTCTAAGGGACGGCAGGCGTATCAGGTCCCAGGGTCCGCTTATCTGGTCATACCTAGGTTCGGTTTTTTCGCTAATGTGCTGCTCAACCTGCTGATCATTCCTCAGCTGCTAGCCATGTATCATGCTGATATGTCCTGCTAAGCCGGTTTCATTGTTCTATCTGGTTATCACACTGATATGTCATAGTAAACGAATGTCAATTTGCTATCATATTACATGGCATTAGCTATGAGTAAGGTCCTGATTGTACTGTAAAGTGCATGGTGAGTTACAACAGAGGAAAATTGAAGTCAGCAATGAGTAATCCCGGATCCTGGTATTAGTACAACAATTGATGAAACTTGACAGCGAAGACTTGATGCGAAAATGTGAAAATGTTGATGCAAAGAGAATGCGAAGGTAACGAAGAGATGGATGGCACTGCGAAGACGTTGATGTGAAGAGATGACAAAGCGATGGTGTGATATAGAACAGTGAGCAAGCCTGAAATGTGAATATCATGCCGGTCAGCACGATGTAAGCAAAGCATGGTGTGACCTATGAAGACGAGCAACCATTTATTTCTTCTTGCGGGTCATCCTGGCCTTCTTTGGTGCTGGTAACGGCGACTGTACAACAGCCTTATGAATATGGCCCCTCTTGCCTTTGGACTTTGGTGGCTTACTTACATGTTCTTCAATATTGCTTCACGGTCACTCTTAACTTGTTCGTCCTCAATACGGTCCGCTTTTTCAGCTGCTTCTCACTGCTCGACAAGAGGTGCAACCCAAAAGACATCAGTAAGTTTGCAAAACATGTCTACCCCTTGGGGTATCCAACGTGCAACATGTAAGCATTGCTCTTGCAGTGACATTCCTTTCCTGTATTGGACATTGAGAGATAAGCATGACTTGGATGTGCTGGCATGTACTTACTGTTTGGGTTTGTTGCCCGAGTCTGAGTCTTTATGTTTCCTAAGATGGAGGGATTAGATATGCATATATGCACCTGATAATGCGAAACTGACTTACTTTGTTCGTTTTTTGGGTTTCTTCGCATTGGTGTTGCTATCCGATGATTCCCTCGTGCGTTTTTGCAGGGATTTCTTCCGTTTTGGTTCTTCATGCATTGGCAAAGTCGTGGGTGGCGAAGTGGAGCGTGACTGACTCATCATCGAGTCATCGCTGTCTGATGACGAGCTACTGGAGGATGATAGTGAGTGGTGCCTACGTGCTGGCATGATGGTAGTAGTAGATAAGATGGAAATAAGACGCATGCATGGCATTATTGATTACAAGCTTTTGTTTTGTTCTATTGACGTGTTTCAAGAACACCCTGGGAAACCTCAATGCATCTATGCGATATCTCAAAATCTATGTTGACGCGTCAATTACAATGATTCTTGTGTACAGACTGCAAAATAAAATAACATGAAAGCAGTGCGAGAGCAAAAAGAACGGTACAGCAAAATCTAAACTAAGTAAAGTCCGTGGTAACAGGAGCAGGGAGAGCTCACAAAATGTCTAGACCAGCAATGGAATCTTTATCTTCCACATCCCTGAAATGGTGACGACGGACAGGCGGCCAAGTAATGTTACTGTCGAATTTGTATTTGCGTGGCAGGGGATTTTTGCGCAGTCCAACTAGGCGCACTGGTTTCGCCTTGATGGCATTAGTCCTATAGATCAAGTTGTATCAATGTCACGATCAGACAAATATAAGAAAACCTTACCCGGAACTCTGGGACGTGATTTTGAGGCCTGCAAGATCTTCAGCGAGCTTGATGGTATCGGTCGTGAACCTGTAAATTTTGACGTGAGTACAACTCACTAGAACACCAAAGTTATCACGTTTTGGTCCTCTTGTTCTCGCGATTGGTCGACGAGGTCCTGTAGATTAAGTTAGCGATATTATTGCGAGAGGAGAATCAAATGTTACTCACTTTTTCCTTTTGTGATTGCCTGGAATCAACAAGTCCACCTCGCTATCTGAAGATTCTTCGATGTGAACCATCTTGACAGGATCTTTGAGGCAGATAATAAGTTTCTAGATCAAATTGTCAGTAAGTAATATGAAAAGATTGAGATTACATACCAAAGGGCCCAGGTTCTCGGGAGTAAAATTAATCTCGTAAGTCAGCCAGCCAGTTAAGAGGTTTTCGATGTCCATGACAATGACATTGTCATGGATAATGACCTGGTCAGCACCATCAACAATAACGGACTCAGATGCCATAGTATATGATTATAGAAAATGGTAGTAATAAAAAGATAAGTATGCGATTCACATCGAATACGCAAGAATTCAAGTCGTGTTGCATCACCAGTATTTGCCGGCTGACTTTGAAAAGTCACATGATGTTCAAAACTGTGTCCTTGTCATCCTCGTTCTTGAGCTCGCCATTGGATCCTGTGTGGGCCTGCCTTCAAGGCATGATCTTCAAGACACCGATGCCCACCACTTCCCTGTTCCATGACGTTCCTGCATACCCCCACCCTCCACTTGCATCACCCTCGTGCCTGCACCTGCAAATTCAGCTGCTGATGCTGTGCCTGTGAACTCAGGCCCTGCAAGCCTCAATGTCAGCTCTCGTATGCAATTCATGCTTCAGGTGTGTGGTATGAGCTCCATCAAATCCTAACCCAGCTGAGATCTCTGTCACAAGCTCTTCAACCTATTCACCTTGTCGCAATCATCACATACTATCTCTCACCCGCCCTTGCATGCTCACCCACCCTTGCATTCTCACCCACCCTCTCGATCGCAAAGATCTTTCTGCATGCCGGAGCCCTGGGTAATGTTTCTCACCCACCCTCTCAATCGCAAAGCTCTTTCCGCATGCTGGAGCCCTGGGTAATGTCTGCAATGATGTTTGGCTCTATTCTGAACAGTCCAAAGTTGGTGAGTCGGATTTCGTCTTTGTACCTTTTTACTAATGCATACACTTCATTCCGGTACCCATTATGTTTCCCTCTGTACTGTATCCTTTACAAATACAATATCAATTTCTAAATGTATGGTGTCACAGTGTGACTTGTGATCCAGTGTTTGAAGATCTATTTCCACCTTCAGCATAGAAGCTGCCTCCAATACTGTCTCTACTGTGACGTTTCCTCTCTTACGGTGGATCACCTTATGACTGAGGTTATCTGCCAGAGTTCTTGATCCTCTTGGGCTAGAACCGGCACACTCAGCAGCAGTAGTCTGCATCACCTATAAAGACTGTCCAGAATGTCTGGGTAAGTCATTATCCCCCATACATTATCATGCTCCTATTCTAATTACCATGTCTGCAGGCCAGCTGACATGCCTTGGCTGTGGGAGGCAATTCAAATCGACAAGACAGCTGTCGTCACATGCTGCGCAGTGCGAGCATAATAGGTCTATCAAGCTGACCAGCTCTGTCTATCAAAAGACAAAAAAGCACAAGTCAGATAAGTGCAGCAAGGCAAAACGGCCTCGGATCAAGGACTCGGATGAGATCATCCGCGATGGAATTGAGCAGGACTATGACGATATCCGGGCTGACCCACCCAACAATTCGGATGTGCTGCCTCTGGCCGATGTGCGTATTTCAGTTATAGCCTCTAGCACCATTCATATTAATGCTGCTGCAGGATAATGCAGTCCCAGGGCCGTCACAGATTCCTGATTATGATATCCCTGCTGAATATGATGTAAGTGTTTTATTCTAGCTTCCTAACTTGTGACGTATTAACATTAATATGACTGCAGGTTACTCCAGTTGTCTCGCACCGCTCAGGGCACACAATTCGGATGCCACACCACTACGTGGATTATCTTCCTGGATCGTCAATGCATCTGGCACACATGCCACGAACCAATCACCAGCTGCGTGCTGAGAAATCTGCAGCCACCGCTTCAGTCTGAGGTTAACAGCCCTGCCCATCGCCCACCCAGTCCTAGTCCTAGCTCCGTAGAATTGATACTGGTGCCGTTCGAGACTGAGCCAGATGACACAGGCTTATATCGTATATACGCCACCCGTCCCACATTCATTCCTGCAGATGCTCTTAACACAGTGACAGATGCTCCTACCCTTGACAGCAGTCTACCAGCCCAGAAACAGAGCAGGCTTCTTGCTGGGCTTCCACCTGCAGACGTCGGGGTGGATGAACTGTTCCATGCATTCACAAACCCAACATGTGGGCTTATGATGGCGTGGCAATACTCCAGGACAAATGCAAAGTCTTTTGCCAAGTTTGATCGCCTTGGCACCTTCTTCGAAGACCCTCTCTTCCGCAGTGAAGATGCGATCGGAATAACACATGCCCGTGAGTCAAAGCTACTCGACAAGTACCTGGACGACAAAATGAATCCTTTCCGGGAAGAACATGGTTGGCAGGAGTCGACAGCCAGGATCCATCTACCAAGGGAGAAGCAGAGATGGGCATCGGAGGAGGACGCTCCTGAGCTGGAGATACCTGGAGTATATTACTGCTCACTTGTTGACATCATCACAGCTGTTTTCGAGGACGACGTCTCCCAAACGTTCAACATGACGCCTTTCAGTCAACACTGGAAGGTCTCTGGGGAAAAGACGATCCAGGTCTTTTCAGAAGCTCACAGCTCCCCTGCCATGCTTGATGCATACATGGAGATCAACACTTTGCCACGCAAACCTGACGACGATCTTGAACGTGTCGTCACTTCCCTCATGTTTTGGTCTGACTCAACGCATCTCACCAATTTCGGGGATGCTTCAATGTGGCCGTTCTACTTATTTTTCGGAAATCAGTCAAAATATACTCGCGGGAAACCAACAGCCAGCGCATGTCATCATGTTGCTTATATACCAAATGTGAGTTTCATTATTTACTGCTGAACATTGGAACTGAAGCCCAAGATAGCTTCCTGATGATTTCCAAGAACAGTATATGGGGTTGTTTGGAGAACCCTCGACGGGCGAGACGTACACCTACTGCAAGCGTGAGCTGATTCATGCCATCTGGAAACTCCTTCTCGACAACAAATTCATGGATGCATATGAACACGGTATCATCATCAAGTGTTCGGACGGCATCACACGCAGAGTATTCCCTCGATTTTTTACATACTCAGCCGACTATCCGGAAAAGTGTGTACCATGTGTTACTTAATCTTCTTGGTGATTCTGACGGTATTTTCTCTAGAGTTTTACTTGCAAGTATCAAATTTCTAGGCCAATGCCCCTGCTCACGCTGTCTTGTCAAGAAGACTGACATCCCGAAGATGGGGACAAAGCTTGATTTGAGACGACGAGACAGGTTGCAGCGTGTCGATGATAATTCTCGGTGCCACAACATTGCAAAGGCTCGGTCGCTCATATTTGAGAAGGGTGCTCCTGTTTCTGGTACGTGGGTGAATGGCCTTTTGAATGACGAATCTTTGGTGCCTACCCGAGTAAGTACATTGATCTATTGATACACCTGGCCCTAATCACATTCTAGAATGCATTTTCGGAGAAGCTCTCCCGATTCGCATTCAACTTGTTTGCCTTGTTTGTTGTGGACCTGTTGCACGAGTTCAAAATTGGGGTTTGGAAAGCTATCTTTATTCACCTTATGCGGATCCTGCATGCAGCAGCTGGTGATTCAGTTCAGCAGTTTAATTGACAGTAAGTAATGGTATAGTGATTTATTTCAACTAATTGATACTCTGCCAGCTATTGGAGGGTTCCAACTTTCGGACGTGGCACCATTCGGTGTTTCAACAAAAACACATCAGCCATGAAGCGACTCGCCGCGAGAGACTTCGAAGATTTACTGCAGGTCCGTTCTTACTGAATTTTTATAAACTGAATTATAATAGTATTGCAGCGCATCCTTCCTGTGTTTGAGGACCTTCTCCCGAATGAACATGACCAGAACGCTATAGTCCTTGACCTGCTCTTCGACCTTGCTGCATGGCAAGGCTATGCAAAGCTCTGTCTGCACACTGACGATACTCTAGCTTTTTTTGACACTGCGACTGTGGTTCTGGGCCAGTCTGTTCGAAAATTTTCGAAAACAATATGCCTGTACTACCATACTACCGAACTCCCTCACGAGTATGCTGCCTGTGGGTGACGAGTTGCTGCATTGGCCAGTCAGCAGACTGTTAAGGAAGGGAAGAAATGGGCTACAGACTCAGAGACCACTTGGGCTGGACCAAAGCTCAAGAGGCTCAACCTCGAGACATATAAGTATCATGCGCTTGGGGACTATCCCGAGCCCCTTCAGTGACAAATTCCATATTATACGGGCCACCCGACCTACATAATATCCCGTATGAGACGGGCCAGCGGATTATGGGCCCATGTTGTGTATATTCTCAATGATGACGGATGGGCCGGAACACATATTATTTCCGATGGAGACGGGTGGGCCCATGTATGCCAATGATATATATATCCTTGATGTTGACGGATGGGCTGGGGGAATATGATCATTCATGGAGATGGGTGGGCCCATCTGGGTAATATGTAGAGTAGGATATTATAGACAGCTGGGCTGAAGAGAGATGTAAGGCAAATATTGTTATATAGACGGGCGGGCCGACGGGGGTGTATTACATATATGGGTGGGCCGAGGTAGGGGAATATTACATAGATGGGTGGGCTGACGTGGGGTGTATTACATATACAGGTGGGCCGATGTGGAAAGTATTACATATACGGGTAAGCCGACAAAAGGGATATCAAATAGACGGGTGGGCCGAGGGTGTGATAAAATATCTATTACATAGACAGGTGGGCCGAGGTGGGGTATAATTATATAGACGGGTGGGCCGACATAGGATGTATTATATAGACAGGTGGGCCAACATAGGATGTATTACATAGACGGGTGGGCCGACATGGGGGATAATACATAGATGGGTGGGCTGACATGGGGGAATTGTACATAGATGGGTACATATATGGGTGAGCCTAGATACATTTCATCAAGACATACAGCTGATGTAGCCACCAGCAATCAAACACGTAGGATACATGTACACTATGAGTGCATATACCTACCATCGACCACCGAATCTAAACCCCTAAGCACGAAAACATGAATTGACCATGTGTGGCATTGACCAATAATCGAGGACTGAAGTGGAAAAACCCCACACCTGAACCCTGGTGTGCAACATATCCTATTTCTAAGCACGGACACCAGAAGCACAACACTCACAAAAATATAAATGTCAAATTTTCAGTGCAAAACCCCAAACCGAGATCTACCAACCCCCGAACCCCGAAATTGTGGACTGCCGGGTTTCGGGGGTCCCGGAACTCGGAACTTGGGAAATTTGGGGAGATCAATAAAATTTGATTTACAATCGAGTTGATTGACAAACACATTGACTTACCCATGTTTGAAATATATTTTTGTTGTCTCACATACCGAGTTCCGAGTTCCGGGACCCCCAAACCCCAAACCCCGAAACCCGGCAGTCCACGATTTCAGGGTTTGGGGGTTGGTAAAATGTGTATGGATAGATAAAAGGTTGATTGCAACATTTTTGAAAAATGTCTCATATCAAATGTCAAGTCCCGAGTTTTGATTTCCAGGTTTCTGGAGTGCCGAGTCCCGAAACCCGGAGTCCCGAAACCCGGAATTCGAAACTCGGGACTTGACATTTGATATAAGACATCTTTCAAAAATGATTAAATCAACCTTTTATTTATTTATAAACATTTTACCAACCCCCGAACCCCGAAATCGTGGACTGCCGGGTTTGGGGGTTTGGGGGTCCCGGAACTCGGAACTCGGTATGTGAGACAACAAAAATATATTTCAAACATGGGTAAGTCAATGTGTTTGTCAATCAACTCGATTGTAAATCAAATTTTATTGATCTCCCCAAATTTCCCAAGTTCCGAGTTCCGGGACCCCCGAACCCCGAAATTGTGGACTGCCGGGTTTTGGGGTTCGGGGGTCCCGGAACTCGGAACTCAGTATGACACAACAAAAATATATGTTGGGGTTTGGGGGTTAGTAAAATGTTTATAGATATACATAGGTTGATATAAACATGTCTGAAAAATGTCGTTAGTCTCAAATGGCAAATCCTGAGTTCCGGGTATCGGGACTCGGCACCCGGCACCCGGCACTCAGGGTTCGGCACTGAAAATTTGACATTCAGGTGTTAGGGTTTAGGGTGATATCTACTTCAATTTACAGTTTCGAGTTCTGGATATCGGGACTGGTCATTAAATTATTAATCTTAGCATCCTGCTCCTGCACCTGAGCCTCAAGAATAGCGATGCGAGCTGCACCATCCTGAATCGCGATTGCCATGGAATGGAGATCTGGCATGGGAACATCGAGTGCTGCACGAGGCACTGCGAAGCTCGAAGACCAAACAGCTAAGTAAAAAATCAGGTCAGCAGGTCATCAAAAGTTTGGGTGACTTATGAGCTGGCGCAGGTGCAGGTGCAGGTGCAGGTGCAGGTGCAGGTGTCTTCTTGGTAGTGATGGTCTTGCTGCGACCACGTGACTGCACCTGGGGTGTAGTTGCAGCAGGGATGGCCGGAGTTCGGGACGGGCCACGAGATTGACTACGAGTTCGGGCCCTTGACAGGGAGGGAGACGGAGCAGTGGATGGAGCAGGGGCAGATGTCTTGGAACGCATCCGGCCGGTGGTAGACTTCCCTCGGATCCGTTTGGGCGGGGATCCCAGAGATGCTGGGTTGCATTTGATCTTCTTGGTGAAGCAGCGGATGCAAGACAAGCAGGGGAGGTTGGTCCTCTTGTCAAAACGGGTTGCACAGGGCCAATCCTCCTTGACGCAATAATGGCAGGGGTTGTTCTGTGGTATCCGTTAGTAGATGGACTAGGGGAATTAATTGGAGTACTCACCGGGCCGGGAATGGTGATATCAAATGTGGTATTGGCCGGGGGGTCACCATCCGAAGCGCTGGAAGTATCATCAGAGGACTCCTCAACTTCCGGACGACTGCCGGAGGTTGCCTGATAGATTGTAAGTACGCATGTGAGTTCCGGGCGAGCTTGTAAGACTTACCCGAGCCTCCGGACGACTAACGGGAGATTCCTAATGCAATGGGCATGAGTCAGAATGATATATGCGAGTTCCGGACCTGTCCGAAAGACTCACCATGACCTCCGGACGCCTGCCGGCAGTCAGCTGTGGACACATGAGCATATATATGAGTTCCGGACAACTAAATCAGACTTACCGAAGCAGGCCCAAATGATTGCTTCTTGGGGGAGCCAGGTGACCGAGGCAACTGGGGCGTCCTCACAACAATGGTGGAGAGCTGGGGAAGAATGACCTCCGGCACTCTACGCGAAATCGGCTGCAACAAATTGAGAGCATGTTACAAATGAGCCAGAACACATACCTGAACAATTGGGTCTTCATCATCTTCCGACTCCACAAACGGCTTTGACTTGGGGAGTCGAGTTGACTTGACATGCTTGCGACCCTCACGCC